CGGGGCCCTGAGGGGACTACAGACCTGAAGGGACCAGTGGCCTGAAGGGACCAGTGGCCTGAGGGGGCTGGTGGCCTGAGGGGACCAGCCTGAGGGCGTCAGGGGTCTGAGGGGACTACAGGGCTGAAGGGACCAGTGGCCTGAGGGGACCAGTGGCCTGAAGGGACCGGTGGCTTGAGGGGACTGGTGGCCTGTGGAGATCAGGGGTCTGAGGGGATCGGTGGCCTGAGGGGACCGGTAGCCTGAGGGGATCAGTGGCCTGTGGAGGTCAGGAGCCTGAAGGGACCGGTGGCCTGAAGGGACCAGTGGCCTGAGGGGGATGGTGGCCTGTAGGAGCCAGTGGCCTGTGGAGGCCAGGGGTCGGAGGGGACCAGTGGCCTGGGGCAAATGTGGGGCACAAAGGGTCCTGGGGTGCAGGGGAGGGCGTCCCCTGAGGCGCTGAGCGCAGGGGTGCCCACCCTCGGGGCCCTGCGGCCTCGGAGGGGGCCGTGGGCCGGCTGCCGGCTGCGGAGGCGAGCCCTTTGGGAGCCAAGAGCAGGGTTTGGCCAAGACCCCCCCGTCCCACATGGACGGACACGAGTCGCTGCGATATAGGGTCGATCTATAGCAGGGCACGAGTCCTGTAGGCCCCGGCGCAGGGGACGCCGGTGGGCGTTTGTCACCTTCCACCGAGCCGCTGCCTGCGATGTGTTGGTGCGGCGGCAGAGGGGGCCCCCCCGCCGCGGCCCCGGCTCCCCCCCCCCGGCCGGCTGCGTGCGATGTGTTGGTGCGGCGGCAGAGGGTGCCCCCCCGCCGCGGCCCCGGCTCCTGGCCTAACTCGTTAGAGCGCTAACGGTCTTGGCAGCCAGACGGGGAAGAGATGAACAACCTCGCCACGTACTAATTAACCTGGCATCAAGCTCCCGAGAGCGGTGGGGTGCAGGATGAGCCCCTGGGCTCGTTGGCAAGTTCCGTCTCCCGCTGTAACGTAGAAGGGGAACGATCTCAAAGGCGGCTTTTGCCTTTGTTGAACTCGAGTATGAAATTAAATGATTGTCAGTGTCCAAATGAACACTCGCTCCTTAAAAAAAAACCCAATTAACCCTCTGCTGGACATCGCCGTCTTCAGTGTGTCAGGGATGGTTTGACGATACCTTGTACTTCGTCAAAAAAAAACAAAGTCAGTGAAGCCCCAAGCTCTGAAAATAGGAAGCGGAGCATTCAGGTGTGCGCTGAAACAAGCTGTAACGGCCCATTTTTGGGGCGAAAGCCAGCTGTATCCGTCACAAGCGCCGTCACGCTCTGCTCCGTCTCCAGATGTTCTGCGTCGCCGGGCAGAAAAACGCGGCGGAGCCGAGCAGAAACCACAACGAAGAGGAACGAACGAGCGCGGTTGGACCGGCGGCTCCCCAGGGGTCCCCTCCGCCCCCAAGCCCTCTCCGAAGGGCTGCGGAGAATTTGGTAGAGGCTTCGCCGTGAGGTCAGAAGGAAGCGCGCGGCGGAAGCGAGGTCCAAACAGGCACTTTTATTTGTGGTTGCGACGCTGACATTGATGGAACCGTCACACGCGACACGGGGACCGCGCGCGGATGCTCCCGCCGGAGGTACGTCCTTGCGTAGGAGCCCCGGTGCATAGTAGGAGCAGTTAATGCCTCAGAAATACATTAAAACAGAAGGATTTTTTTTTGGTAGAACATCAGCCCTGCAGTTTTTAGCTTTTTTTTAGGTTTTTTTTCACTTGCCCTGGCCCGATTCAGGGAACGATTTGGAGCATGCGTGGTTTACGGGGACAAAAGTTGCATCTCAATACAGAAAAGAGCGTGGTTACTCCTAAAGACGGACAAATTAATGCCTTCGAGGACACAGCTTTACACGGGAGACACGCTCCAAGCGCACGGATCAGTCCACGCTTGCAGAAAGAACCCAAGTCACGCAGCGAAGCCTTTCCGGACGCTAAAATCCCGCCGGAGAGCTGCCCTCGCCTGAGCGGCTCCCATTTTTTCCCAAAAACCCCTTATTTACTGGAAGATTTGCCTCTCTGCTTTCCGAAGCTCTCGGCGAGCGCGGCGCCTGGAGTTTTCCGCTTTGAAAAGCCGGCTGCTGCTTCGGCTTTTTGGAAATAGGAATCCCTAATTCTGATCCTCAAATACCGAGTTGACGGAACGCAGCGGAGCCAGCCCCGCGGCCCAAAGAACACGCTTCGCTAAATTTATTCTCTATTTCAACATTTGTATTTCCAGACCTAAAAATCTCTGCTGTATATTGGCTGTTTATGCAAATAAATCGAGCTACTGACGGTCCTCCGCTATTTCAGACGGCGTTTCCACAACCAAAGCGTCTTGATATAAAAAGAGAAGAGCTGAAGTCGAGGAGCGAGAGTAAACGTACCCTCAACACAACAATCTCAAAGAGGAAATAAGACAAACCACCTCAAAACCTCCACGAGGATGGGAGAGGAAAAAATTAAAATCATTCAGGACCAGCATCAAGCTGCAGAAAATGTTTTCTTGTAGGTGCTGGTATAGCTGTAAACTGAGTATATCCCCCGAAGTAGTCCCTTAATTATTCCCACTTACCCCTATCCCAAAAAAGAGGATTCTCCTCTTTTTTACCTTTTTTTTAGCTTTTTATTTTCAGAAAAGTTTTACCTTTTCTTTTTCCCTTTCCCTCCGCCTTTTTAGCCTTACCTTTCCCTTTTCCCTTTCCCTCCGCCTTTCCAGCCTTACCTTTCCCTTCGCCTTTTTAGCCTTACCTTTCCCTTTTCCCTTTCCCTTTTCTTTCTAGCTCTGCCCCCGAGGACTGGATCGGCTACATCGAGACGCGAGGCGAAAGGCGCTTTAGAGAAAGGATGGCGTTTGGTTCCAGCCAGCGCAGATCTACGCCCGCCGTTGGCTTGGGGAGACGTCAGCGGCGCTGCGCCGCCCTGGGCCAGGGCAGTCACGTCTCCGCGTGCTGCCAGGTAGATATTTCAAAATCTGTCACAAAAACGGTGCTGGGAGAGATGGAAATAGCGGCTACAGAACTGAAACAACTGTTAAATGCAAAATATACAAAACCCCCAAACCATTGAATAATTCAGATAGAAAACATTCCTCGTATCTTACAAAAATACTACAGGGATCTAAGAAGTAGGTAGAAAAGAAGCAAAAGATATCTTTCGGCCCAAATTGAACGTGGCTAAGCAAACGTCTGCGATAAAGAGGGTTTGCGTGTTTTAAGGCAGGCGTGTGACCCCCAGAGCCTCCCGCGGCCGCTGGCCCCCCGTGCTCTGGCAGCTGAATTGTCCTCCAAAGCCTCAGCGCGTTTATTGTTAAACAAATTAAAGCACAAAACCGTACGATTTGTGGCGGTGACCGTGCCCGGGCGAGCCTCCTCTTGCGCAACGGACACTTCAGCAGCTGCGCCTATCAGAGGAGGTGCTTTGATTTTGTTAAATTTTCAGTTTCATAGTTGTATCTTAGGGACATTGAACCCCCTTTAAGCTATTTCTCTAAAACCTCCCCTTTTTCTCCTGACAGGAGCTGCGCCAACGGTCTGGACCTTCCCGTTAGAAACGGCAGCCGGCTACAAGTCCAGGCGACGCCGCGGCATCTAAGGACGTAAGGCAACCTGTTGTTTGTCATTTGGTTTGCTTAAAATATTATTATTTTACCTAATAATTAAGACCTAATAGTAACTAAAAAAGAGAGAGAAAGCTATATACATCGCTCCTTTCCCACGCCCGCAGGTGGGGTCTTCCTAAATTCGTCACGCAGGCAAAGCGTTTTGTTCGACAGTTAGGGAAGGCTTTGCTGTAAGTTATATTTAAGATATAATGCAGGATGTTTTGGGGAGGAATCGGTAGAAGCTGTCAGTCCTAGAAAGATGCAATAACTGTACAGAGCGTCCGTCCGTCTGTCCGTCCCGGGTTGCATCCAAACACAACCCCCTGGTTGAGCGGGATACCCGGCACGGCGCTAATGCCCGAGTCCTGCTCGTTAACCCCTCACGTCCCTCCCCCTTCACCCCAACGCTAACGAGCATTTTCCTAAATGAATTAATTCTAAATGTGCTCAGCACGACCCCAAAGCCGGGCGTCTCCAAAAGGTGGCAAGAGAAGCGAGGCCATTTCAGCGCGTTTCAGCTCTCTGGGTGGGAATCGACAACGGCAATAAGATATTTGGGGGGGCAGGGGGGAGGCTGCAAATAAAACCCAAGTCGAGGAGCTGCTAAAACCCGCCAGCGCGTTCGCCGGTCACCGCAGCGCCTGGATTCACCCGAGCGCTGAGGGACGGCCGAACGCGGCTGACCTGAAGGTAACATCGTCTTTTTTTACCGGTATAAAATAAAACTATGAAATCCAATTAAACTCATTTTGGCGTCGGTCGACGACCCGGAAGACGGAACTTTGCCCTGTGTCGGAACCATCTCCCCGCTGCTTTTAGCAGCACCTTAGCTGGCAGGATTCGGCCGGGAACTCCCCAGCTCAGTATTTGAGCTGGCTGGGGACCAACGGGACGTTAGCTGCGACGAGCTCTGCGGAAGCGGACACGCTAGAGCGGTCTTCGTTTAGCAGCCCCGACGATTTAAGGTTGAATCGTTAACAATGGCCCGTTGCCCGCCGCAGGGGCGAGGGAGACGGCGGTTCAGGTTCGTTAACGAGATTTCCACGTGGGACAAACGACGCTGAGCGCCGGGCGTTATCCTGCAGCTCTGCTCCCGAAGCGGGAACGGGAAGAGGAGGCGCGGAAAGGACGAGGGCAGGCTCTAGGCGTCCGACTGACCTTTGTTCGTCTTCTTCAGGAGCTTTTTCAGGTCGGGCGACATAAAGTAAGGCTTTTCGGCCGAACCGTCGTTACGCTCCAGGTCTTCCACTGCAAAGAGAACCCCCGCCCCGCGCAGCAGTGGGGGGGACAGACACAGAGGTTGGCGTGGCAGAGTCACGGCAGAGGCAGCGAGGAGCCTAAGGGCAGAGAGATGCTGGAGGAGCAGCCCTCCTGCTCGTCCGACAATTATCTTTGCTAGAAACAAAAGCCTTTCGCCTCGTCGCGGGCGGGCGGGGGGGGTTTTATCCCTGCCTCACAGCTAAATGCCCCCAGCAGCACAAACCACCGCGGTCGCACCTCTCCCATTTTACGGGGAGCACTGTGCTCCGGAAACGGACTGCTATTATTTAGAAGAAAGCAGAGGTTTGGGTGTTTTTTTGTTTTTTTTTTTTTCAGGGGGGCAGCGGGAAAGTTTAACAGCGCCGTAGGAAAAGAGGTCTCCTCCGCGACCTCGAGCCCTGCCGGCCGGGAGCGCGGTTCCCCTCCGCTAAGGAGCCAGGCAGCGCGGCTCTCCCTGCTCTTTGTGCAGCCAAAATGGCTCATGACGCGAGCGCAAAGCAATTTCGCTCGGTATTCGCAACACCCTTGTCAACACGCCATGCATACATAATCATTAGGTGTATTCCCAGCACCGAACACGCCGCTCGGCCTCTCGCCGTTCAAAGCAAAGCAGCTGCGCCAACAAGAAGCGGTAGGAAAATCACAGCCACCGAAAAAAAAAAACCCAAAGCCAAACAAACCCACAAAGCACCAGCTTCGGAGTCGGGCGAAAGCGCCCTGGGATATTTTGAGAGGGATTTCAGTATTTCTCTGTGATGGAAACACGAGCGTTAACACTGCGGCTTTGTCCTAAGAGGGCATGACTCAAAAGACGGGACGCTCTGTCTGCGTGAGGATTTGTAACAGGAGATCTGGCCGCGCGACCCGGGCTGCGTGCAGCCAGAATGGCGTTCTTTTAAATCTTCATCATTTCTGCGCTATCAAGGGGAGAAAACACGGCGAGGACCCAGCCCGTCTTTGGCTGTTGTTTCTCTCGGGGCCGTAACCCTCACCAGCTGCCTCCCCGTCACACCTCTGACTTTTTTGGTCTCGTTTCCCTGGCCGTAGTGACGCGGTGATACGTCCCCGGTGTAACACCCGCCAGCGCAACGCGCTCCTTCCCTGTGGCCGTCCAGCCCGTCAGGGATGCTCGCGCCGCTCCTCCGGACATCGCCTTCCCTCGAGGGACCCGCGGCAATTCAGAGTCGCCGGAGCCGGCCTGGGGACTCGCCTTCCACGCAGGCTCCCTATTCCTTCCCACAGCCACCCCAGCCTGCAGGCCTGTACGGCAAGCGCCGCCACCTACGCTCCGCGTTAGCGTGGAAAGTCGTTACAGCCCCAGCTCCTCCGTCCCGAGGAGCCCGGACCAGGCAGAAGCCAAACCATCAACTCAACCACCTCGGCGGGGAAAAGGCAGAGCCCGTCAGGCAGCTCCCAGGACGAGCCACCACCTCCCTGCAGCGATTAAACCTCTGCGCAACCAGCAAGAGACACCATTTTAAACGAGGGATGCTGCGAGTAAAAGCCCTCTGAGTTTTAACGGCTTGCAGCCGGCGACGGCTCTTTTCGCCTTCCCTAAACCGACGGCGCGAGGAAACGGAGTTTTCGGCTGTGAAAAGGGCGAGCTCTGTTTCGCAACGAAGGCGCTGCTCCTGCAACAGACTTAAAAGCAAAAGACCTGCAATCTCACAAAGAAATCTTAAGTGCGCCAGCCCGGTTTTGCATAGAAAGAGCGGGCGAGGAAAGAGGCTCGTTGCACTTTGCTGGGGGCAGAACAAGGCGGAAAGCGCAGAGAGACCAGTTTTCAGGCTGCGGAACCCACTCGGCCCGTTCCACAAACCACCGTCCTGCAACGCGAGCTACCTCCTGCCAGCAGAGCAGCTCTCCCGACCTTTTCGCAGCTGGCGGTTAGGAACAAAAGATCTCCGCTTCAACGCGAAACGCAGCTATATATCGGCACCCGTGCGCGCCCGGCCGCTTCCCAGCCGCTCGCCGGAGCGGAGCGCTCCTCGCCGGGCGCTACCGGACGCGTGGGACCCCAGATTAACTCTAGGTGACACTCTAGGTTTGTTCTCTCGATACAAGACTGTTCATTATTGGGCAGGAAGGTGGATTTGATAAGCGTCGGGCACTGAGGAATCGCCATCCCCTCTACCCTCACGGCTTTGAAGGACATCCAGGGGAAAGGTTTGCACCGGGGCTGCCCCGCGCGGGCTGAGGAGAACGCTGCTTGGGCTGGGGGGCCGAGAGCGTCCCGCGGCCCCCCCGGGCACGCCGCCTTCCTCCCGGGGCCAGCCCCTAGCTCGGGAGATCCATCGTTCCTCTCCAGATCTTCACCTTTTCGCAACCCCAGGAAGAAGCGGCCGTGACGGGGAAGAGTGGAAAATAGCGGAAGAGCCGGGGAGAGGCAAGGCAGAGATGAAGGATGGAGAACATGTGAAGAGAGACACGAGGGGGAGAGGGAGGAAAAAAGAAGGGAAAAAGAAAAAAAAAAAAAGGAAAATTGAAGTTAGTTGCAGTTAGGTTCCACCAAGACCAAAGCACCAAAACAGAAAGACCAAGAGAGACCGCAGGAGGCCCAAGGACAGGCTGTGGGTTTCCGTTGCCAGCAGGCAGGGGGAAAGCAGATGCCGGTAAGAAGGCAGGTGGGAGTTGGTAGAGGAAAAAGCGGGAGAAAACCACGCAGAGAGGCCACGGGAATTTGGAGCAAACCCCAAATCTGGACGACTCTGGGGTTCGGCCCCAAAGGGAGGAAGGTTTTGCTACCACAAACTCCTGCCCAGCGGGACACGGACCCTCCGAGCCAGACACTTACAGAAGCAGAGGAAGAGGGTGTCCACGCACATGCCGTACACGCTGAAGAACCCGTGGGCGATGAGGTAGGAGCCCACGATCACCGTCTGAAAGAGAAATCGTGTGGTCACGCCGCGACCTGGCATCTGCAAAGAGCGCAAAGCCCCAGTCCCTCGGCGGGGGGGAGGAAACCTGCTGAATCCCAAATTCCCCAGGGAAAGGAGGAGAAGCGAACAGGGCAGGACTGTTCAGACCAGCCCGATTCAGGACAAAAGGCCTCAGCGACGACGGTGGACGGAGGCCAATCTGGGCAGCACGGGAAGGGCGAGACGCCTCTTCGCGGCCAGCCGAAACAAAGGGCTTATTTCGACGGGGACGGAGAAAACACCTTCAACAAAGAAGGTCCTTCAGAAGCAGCGACGCAGGGGTGTTTTTAAGGCATTTGTGTCCAGGATCTCCTTCCGTCACTTCTAAATTCAGCAAAAGACGAGAAAGCAGCTCACCAGAATAGGGACCCAGTAGTAATTCAGGGGCGGCGCTGTGTCTTGGACCAGCTTTATCCGGTGGGTGAAGAAAAAGAAGGCAAGGATTCCTGGAAAAGCAAACGATGGAAACTGCTGGGGGAGGCAGGGCAGAAGAAAGGCAGCAAATGGGTGCAGGGAAGATGTAAAACGGGACGGAAAGGAAGGGTTTCACGGGAGGAGCGAAGAGAGCGGAGGTTTTGGGAAGGCGTAACCAGCTACAAAAGCCTACAGCAGCCGTACACCCCAAGGAGAAACTTCCAGTCCCCAGCACTTACCGACGCTTCCCACGATGAGGAGTTTACCGAGGAAGAAGAGGAAATCCGTGACTTTATCTAAAACGGCCACCCTGCAAACAAGAGAGAGACGGGCATTCGCATCTGCTCCCCACCCCGAATTCAGAAGGAAGCGTGGGAGGAGGCGGCCAATGCGCACACGCGTTGCAAATATGGCATAAAACGCCGCGAAAGCCTGAAAACAGGGCGGGCAGATCAGGGCTGATCTTTGGCAGCGAGAAGGACTTGGAAATCACCAAGCCTGCTGTCGGGAGCAGAGCCCTCGCCCCCACCAGCATCTCACCTAATGATGTTCCTCATCAGCAGGATCTCATCTCATGATGTTCCTCATCAGCAGTGGAAGAACGCTGCGGGCGGAGGTGCAGAAGTTGGTGCCGTAGATGGCGATCTAGAGGGGGTCCCGGAAAAAAGGGGCAGGGAAGAGAGAAATGGAGCCGCGCTGAATTCACCGCTAAGAAGAGGGCGCAATTCATCCCATCTTTGAGTAAAACCCGGATAAATCCCCGCCTGGAAGTGCTTCTTCATCCACTGACATCGCGGACGCCGAGAGCTGAATCCCCCCACCCTGGTGTCTCCGAGAAGGTCCCTCCAAAGTCAAAGCGACACGGCTTGCGGTCAAGGCTTTCCAGCGAAACGGCTGGGAAACGCTGAAAACCTTCGTTTTCCCATGACGCCGGCAGACACGGTTCTCAACAGCCACCCAAAGAAATCTCCAAGTGTGCCGAGACCCCCGCCACCGTAGTCACGACCCTTTGGGCGTCAACGCCGGGAGACTCTTACCATGATGTACGCGTTTCTGTTGAGGAATTTGATGAATTTTTCCAGGCACCAGAAGCAGCACTTCAGGCAGCTCAGGAGGAACTTGGCAAACTTATTATCTGCAGCTGGAGGAACGCCATGGGAGAGGGTGAGCAGCCAAACCGAGAGACGCCTTCTCTTCCAGAAGCAACTTCAAGGTCCCTAATGAGACGTCCCGCTGCCCTGTCACAGCCTCCCCCGCTACGCCCCGTTTTCAGCCTCCCTGGGAGGCCGATACTGCTGCAGACAGCAGGATGAGCCGCGCTGGCTCTTCCCACGCTTCTGCTCGCTGTTTACATTTCACGATCGATAGCGTCGGACGGCCAGGCGCAGACTTCCCCGACACCCGCACAGAGACCCAGCACCAGCTGACTTAGCCCGGCAACCGCGGCGCATCCCTCGGCTCCCGCCCCGTGAAACGTCTCTTGGAGGAAGAGACGACTACGCGATCCTGCAAGGAAAATCTCGATTCTCCACCGAAATACTGAAATTATTCCCCTGGACGTTAGCCACAAGCTCTGGCACCAAGGAACACGGAAGAAGCCAACCTCATTCGCCATTCCAGCTTCGGTACCTTTTAACCTGTGGTCCAGATACTCCAGGGTGACCCTGATGACTTGGACGATGGCGAGGATCAGAGATCCGAAGGCGAGCGAGCCGGTGTGGTACCTGGGAAAGACCCCTCCGGTTAGAAGGGGACAACCTCAAGAAGCTCGCGAGCCCTCCTCGAGAGGGACGTACCGGAGTGCGCGGCCGAAGGCGGAGAAGAGGGGGAAGGCGGGCATGTCATCGGGTTTCTTGAAGGCCCAGTAGTACGACGCGAAGGCCCCCGCCAGCGTCACCTGGCCCAGCGCGATCACGAAGTTGGCGAGCCAGAAGAACATGAAGACGTTGAAGAACTGGAGGACGATGAGATACTTGTGGTACGCCGACTCGCCCCCGTAGAACGCGAAGAGGCACTGGGCGTCGGGGCACAGCTTGGTGACGTTGCTCGTGTTGAAGGTCTAGAGAGGAGAGCAGACACTCACGCACTGCGGCGGCTGGAGACGCGCCGCAGGACAGCATCTTTCGCTCAACTCAAAGCAATCTCGACTTTCAGAAGACAGATCCTGCTTAATTTTTCGCTTGCTCAGACCGAAAAGTCAGCTTTGCGCACACAACAGCTTGAAGAAAAATAACGGCATGACGTAAATGAGTTCAGAAAGGCGGAACTTCACTTGGAAGAGCTCGCAGGCTCAAATAGCCACCAGGATGTTTTCCATGTACGAAACAATCTTATCTCTGACAGATGAAGCATAGCATTTGTATGAGTTTCCCAACGCCCTCACCTCCGGTTTGCAGGTCTGCCCAGAAAACTGGCACGCCGTCTCGTTAAACACCTTATAGACCGCCTCGTTGGAGGTGGAGAGGAAACTGCAGAGCAACAGTTAAGGAGATTTTGCAAACCCCAAACCCGAATCCTCGGCGTATCTAACTCAGTTTTGCTCTCGCCAGCCTCCTGCGATCGCTATTCGACGTTGGGTTTTAATTTGAAAGTCAAACTTAGAGACAGGCTGGCGGTTTCGCAAACGGACGTGTCACTAATCCTGTAAGATGCTCAGCGCCCTGGAAGACCTTTGATTTCTGAGCAGCTTCCTTCCCCGGGAGCAGAGGCGCGGGGAAGAGGAAGAGGAAAGGATACACGGCGGTGCTGGCCCAGTAGGCGATGCAGAGACAGAGCAGGAAGAAGGTGCACAACGGGAACAGCAGCGACGACATGATGTGACCAACAGCCCTGCCGAGAAGATGGTTAAAACCCGGTTAAAACCCTCGCGGCGACAGGAGGACCTTGGCGGCCGGAGCCCGGCCGTCCCCGAGTCCTCCCACCGCGACAGGTGACAACGGTCACCTCCGCCGGGGACGGGGGACACCCGGACCTGCTGGCCTCTCTGATGAGCGCGATGGCAATGAGGATCCTCTTGCGGAGGAAGATGAGCAGCAGGATGATCACCACCTCCATGATGCACAGGATGATCACTGGGAGGAGAAGGGGAGCCCCGGGTAGCGCGAGGGCACGGACAGCGCCCGACGGCCACCATCCTCCTTTGCTTTCCCCAGCAGATCCGTCTGGCACCAAACGCTCCTCAGGGGACGTCCGGCACTGCGGTTCACGTGGTCGCAGCCCCGACCGTAAGCTCAGTCCCGTGGCAGAGATGCCACCAAGCAAAGCCACCCGCCTTCCCTCAACCCTTGCAAAGGGCCACGGAGAGGCCGAGAAGACCCCAAAGCTCCATGCTCGCCCCTTCCCAAGCCCTGTCCCTCAAAGGGGCCGGGGCTGGGGCGCATCCCCCGTCTCCCATCCTGCATCCAGAGGACGGAGACTCACTGAACGCCAGCCACGTCTGCCGCAGGTGGAGGTAGACGCGTAGGTCTGTCTGAAATCCCAGGTCCTTCAGGGAGACGTCAGAACCCGCTTCCCCTTTTAGTTTCGCATATTCCATGTAACAGTGGAAGATTCCTGCGGTGAAAGGCAGAAAATTGTCCTATTTGCACTGAAAAGCGGAGACCGAGATGCCGGCAGCCTCTGCTCAACACCACCGATGCCGACGTTCAGATAGAAGACACCCGGCAGGACACTTTCTTTGTGCAAATCCCACCTAAGATAGGGAAAGGAAACCGGGGAAAGCGGGGAGAAGCTCCAACCACTCGCGCTCACCATAGCCCAGCACCAGGATCACCATCACGATCATCACCCAAACCATGATCCCGGCCAGGAAGCGGAGCAGGACGATGAAGATGAAGCTAGCCACCATCGCGATCACGAGGCCTCTGCGGGAGGAAGGCAGCAACGCGTCAAAAACCAGGCGACGCCAGCCCCTCCCCACCGCTCTCCTCCATCGGCCAGCTTCTCCGCTCTCCTTTTTCAAGCTTTAACGACGGGGCAGCCTTAAAAACGGGAACCATTGATGGTGGAGGGGACGGAGCGTGAGCAGGGTCCGAGCAAAGCTGCTCCAAAACACCCTCCGCCATCTCGCGTTTTGTTTGAATGGAAATTATGCAAAGGCCGGGGCGGGGGAAAAGAAAAAAATTTGTCATTCATGAGCTTTGCCCCACGTTCGAGCGCGGCACCAAGGCCGTGGCCGGCACGGCGGAGCATCAGCCCTCGCGGGCTCCGGTCCAGCTGCCTTCCCGCGGGAAAGGACAGCCGTAACGCGCAGCTCGGCCCCTGCTCACATTATTATCCAGTACCAGGAAACCGTGTAATCTTCAAAGATCTTCATGGCCAGTTGTCTGGCTTCCAGGACCACGTTGGCTTTTCTGGAATACAAAAATAAAACAGAAATGAAGCGGAAGCCGGGGGAAAGAAGCGGAGGAGCATCAGCCTGGGCTCAGCCCCAGCGAGGCTCTGCCCGCGCCCGCTGCCTGTACTGGCGCTGCCTCAATGGCCCCTTGTCCTCCCCCGCCAAAGGGCCTCTGCCAGACGCCCTGAAAACAAGAAAATTCAACAAGAGCGAGGCTGATTTCCTGGCACTGTTTTCCTTCAAGCTGACCCCGCTGCTTCCCCTTCGTCCCCTCTTCCAGCTCCTGTTTAAAACACAGAATATGGGGTTTGGGGCAGGATTTCTTGCAAACACAGGACCAGGGCTCCGTGCTGGGGCTTTCAAGGCCCTTCCGCGGTATAAATCCGTAAACGAACGCGGCGCAGAAGTGCCAGCAGAGAAACCCAAACATTTCCCGTCTGGATGAAGCAGCAATAACGAAGCAGCTCATTAAGAGGCTCCCCCGGGTACGGTTGCGTACCCGCCATGTTGCTGTTATCGCTGCAAGCGCTCGCTCTCGGGATCGCCCCGGCAAAGATGAAGCGACCAGCGAACCGCGGCGCCTGCCTGGCGCAAAGGTTGCGGAGACTCACTTGGCCCCTTCCAGCAGCTCGGTGACGTTCCTCCGGCGCCCATGGCCATCGTCGTAGGTGGTCTCGTTGCCGACCATGATGACGCCCTTCTTGGCCCGGATGGCCGGGAAGCAGCGCCGCGCCACTGGGAGAGCGGAGGGGGAAACAGCGTCGCAAACCTCAGCCGCTCTTGTCCAGCCCCCGTGGGGAAAGGAGCCAAACCCCGCTCCCCGTGGTCACAGACCTACGCTGGACCCCCCGAAACCCCAAACAGGAGCCTCCGATCCCCCCCAAAAATCCCGACAGCCAGCCTGCGAAGCGTCCGCTTCCCCCGACCGCGACGGAAGCGAGCGGGCTCGTTAATCAGCTCATGGCAGCTCGTTAGCCCTCCGGACGTACGTGGGGTGCTGGGGATAATCATGGCCGGGCACTCCCTGTCCTTCAGCACCTCGATGGGAGGCTGGATGGGGACAGACGAGCTGGATGTTAACCGTTTGGGAAGGAATTACCGCGCCGGGGAACGCCGGCAGCGCCGGGGCTGGCAGACGAACGCCGACACCGCGCTCCTTGCAACCCACCTTCTGCAGGTTTTTGAACTCGGGGACGCAGAAGTTCTGGTAGTACTCCAGCTCGTTGGGCGTGCGGGAGCTGTAGGCGCTCAGGTACGTCAGGTACCGGTCCGGGCATTTGCTGACGCAGATCTGGATGGGAGAAGAGGACACGGAGGGGCCGCGCGTGAAGGCGCGAGCCCCCGGCGCCGGGACGCCGCAAACCGGAGGAGAAGCAAAGCACCGGGGAGCCGTGCCCGGCATGGCACCCCGGGGCCGGGAGCGGTACCTGGGTGGTCGGGCACTGAAACTCCAGCAGCACCAGCGGGCTGGCGCACTTCACGATGTCGAAGTAAAAGAGGAAAGGTTTCTTCCTGCAAAGCAAACCAGGCAAAAACAAACGAACAAAAAGCCCAGCTCAGGGAACCGCCTGCCCTGGGAGAGGCGATGGGAAGCACCCGCATCCCTGCGCCCAGGGGAAGGGGGCCCACGCGGCGTGGAGGGTCCCAAAAAACCCCAAACCCCCCCCAAAAACTGGAGCTGCAAGCTGCTACGATGCTTTTCTGCACCTCCCAGGGGCTCTGCCGCTCCCCGCAGCCAGAGGAGAGCAGGCAGCACGGGCAGGGCGAGCCGCCCATCCCGGAGCCGCGGGGCGCGACACCCCGAGGTTACGGTCTCTCCGATGATGCCGGGGCGCCGAGCCGGGACACGTACTCGTTGGGGGTTCCCTGCTGCCCGCAGAACTGCCCGCGACTGTCGGTGGGGTAGATCACCTTCCGGGGGTCCCCGTGGGTCCAGGCTGAGCGGGGGGAGGCAGAACAGCGCGGCTGTGGTTACCCCCGCAGCCCTCGCCGACCCCCGCGGGGACCCTCCCGTCCCCACCCGGACGAGCAGGAGGGCGCAACGCCCCTCGGCACAGGGTTTTGCCGGTGCGGACAGCGAGCCGGCGGCGAGCCAAGCTTTGCCCTATTGCCAAAAACTTGGCGACGCAGCGAAAACGGGCGCGGAGCCCCCCGGTACTTACCCACGACGCCCACCACCACATAGCCCACGATGGCGATGACCAGCAGGACGCAGCAGAGGACGTCGGTGCAGCCCCTGCCAGCGGGAAGAGCAGAGCTGCGGTGGGGACACGCGCCGGCCCCCGGCGCCGCCGAAACCGCCGCCGCCGGAGAGGCTTCTCTTACCTGTCATAGATGGGACCTTTGAAAGTCGGGTCGTATTTCTGCGGCGTCCCTGCGGAGACGAAGGAGGAAGGGAAAAACAATTTGGGGGATGGCTGGAATGGGAGGAAGGAGCTCCTCATCCTCCTCTCCCCACCGCACGCAAAAGGAGTAGCGGAGGGCGGGCAATGCTTGAACTAAAAGCCTCGGGATAAGCGGAATCGGGAGGACAATAATCTCCAGATGCCGTTTCCCTCCAGCTGTGCCTCTGCTTTCCAGGCGCGCACACAGTTACCCCTCGGAAAACCCGTTTCCACACGGTTTCCTCCAAAAACGCTTCCCTGCCGCTCCTGGGAGCCTGCCCAAGATACCCAAAATCCCTCGGAAGCACCAAAGAGCCGCGCTGGGAGCGGCGATGCCGGGGGGGTCCCAAGGGGTTTCGGGTCCCGCAGAGCCCCCGCGCAGCCGGCGCTCACCGGAGGGACCCGCCTCGGTCCCGCGGTGGCGCTGGGCTCCCGCCCGCGGATACGGCACCGTCCTTTTTCCCCTGCTTTATTTTTAGGGTGGGAATTCAGCCAGCGAAGGCAGCGCCAGCGCGAGCCCCCGGCACAACCGTGGGAGCTGGCCGGTGCCGGGGACGCGGCTGCTTTGGGGGGGGCCTTTTGGGGGGCTCAGAGCAGCCCCATGGCAGGGACACATCTTTTTTGGGGTGCATTTTGGGGGTGCCCAAAGCAGCCCCATGGCAGGGACACGGCTGTTTCGGGGTGCATTTTAGGGGGGCTCGGAGCAGCCCCATGGCAGGGACACGGCT